TAAAGATGAAAGATATATTAAACTATTAAAGATTTATAAAATATAGTTTATAATTTATACATTGAACTAGCCGATCCTTTCCATTGAATGACTTATCTTTACTTATTGTCACTCCTATTATATTATATTCAATTATTCATAATACATATGACTTTAACTATTGTATTTTTATTTTAATATCAATAAAAAATTTATAAAAATACTTTATTAATAATATAATATAAAATAATAAATATATAATTATATATTTCGGATTCGTGTTTTTGTGTCTAAAGTGTCAAACGAGTCGAGTCAGACTCTTGCTTATAAGTTGGACTCGAATTCGTTAAAGAATTGTCTAAACTTATGCTCATCTCGTTAAGAAATTGTTCAAGCTCGAACTCAAATTTAAAATTTAACTTGCAATTTTATAAATTGAAAGAAAAAAATATTAAAATTTGAATATTTAAAAAAAATATATCTATATATATTTTTTTAGATTTAAGTTTTTATTTAGGTTTTCTTATAATTTATTAAATAGTTATTATTAATTAATATCTATAACTTTTAATATCTATATTTTATTTAATTATTAAAAACCTTTAACGAGATTATCGAGTTTGAACTTTAGGCTTGAGCCCGAGTCGAGCCTTAGTTAACATCTTAATCGTATCGTAGTTATATTTCATGTAATTGTGTCTGAAAACACTAAACTGATAATATTATTAATTGTGTCAAAACTTTTGATATTAATATGACATTATTATAAACGTTTCGTGTTTTTGTTATAATAAAATCCTGTTATATTTTTTTCCGAATGGTTATGTTATTATCACCTTTACATAAAATCATTAACCACCATTTTCCCATTCAATCATTCTTTTTTTCATTTATAAATATCCCTCCTTGTTATTCCTGAACAAGTGTGGAGGCTAGGGGGAAGCAGATAAAAAGCAAGCAAGTAAAGAGATCGATCAAGAATGACTGATTGGGCTCCTGTTTTGATTGCGGTCGTGCTGTTCATACTTTTGTCTCCGGGATTACTATATCAGATGCCGGGAAAAGACAGGCTGGTGGAGTTTGCGAACATGCAAGCCAGCGGTGTGGCTATAATGGTTCATGCAATCATCCTCTTCGGTATCATCTCGGTATTTCTAATCGTCCTTAATGTCCACATGGACGTCGGTAACTCTTAAAAAACACGCAAGTTGCTAGACTAGATGGATCGACGATCAATCTCTCTGATCTTCATAGTTTAATTAGTTTCAAATTTAAACTTTTACATGTGTAAGTTTGGAATTTTGATGAAGATCATCGATGATCATCAACACACACAATCTTTTTTTTAAATTTGGGATTCAAATTTTCTAAAAAAAAATATCACTTGATTGATAAATAAATGAAAGACTGATCGAATGATTGGTTTTCTTTTTTGGTACTGTTGGGTCTGCTTTGCATATTCTATAGTCAATGAATATTATATATAGGGTGCACATCAGAGACGTCTCCAACGGACCTTGGAACCCCCACTCCTCCTCCGCTTCCAACTGCCCCTCCTCATCTTCCAAGATAACTCTTCTACTCCTAAAACCCTTATTCCGGCATCAATATTCTACTGATATCGTTCTTCTATCTTGTTCCTCAGCTATTAACGAGTTCGTTCCAAGGTAATCGTTTTTCCTGTATGGTCTTACTAGTTTTCGGGTTCATATGATTTTCCCTTCCACAGTTTCGCTTCCGTCCTTTTTTTTCAATTTCTTATTGTCTGACTATTTTTTGTTTCGTCTCTTGTCACTGTTTTAATTAGGTCGATGGATATTATTCCTGTGTCTTCTTCATCACCCAAAACAAATATTCCCGTTGGTGACAAGAATCAATCTCTTGATTTAATAGTTTCTGCTCCCATGACATCAGATTTCATGCTATTAAATTCATTCAAACTATTTGGTCATAAGATTGGCCCTGTTTGTGATACTCTGAACATTTTTTCTGGAAATCCATCGATTAGTGATCAACCACCACTCCCCACTGTATATCCTCCCAACTGAGTTTCCAAGAGGAAGCAAATGCAGACAACATCTACTAATGAAATATTATTTGAAATCGTCGACCTGTCTGGTAAATATTTTGTTCAGTCTAGTGTTGATTGTTTTAACTGTTGGTCATCTGTAAATCCACCGATGAAATTGTTGGTCAGTCTAATGATCAAATTTTTGAAATGATAAAGAAGAGTTAGATGTCTTTTGAAGATCTGTGTTATCTTACTCAAATTTCTCAAAGAGTTTTTCCTTATGTTAGAGGAGTTAGGAACAGTAAGGAAATCTAAATATTTATTGTTATTGAAAACTTGTTATTAAACTTATTGAAATCTAAATATTTATTTTAGATGGTGATAGAGTAGGTGAGTACGTTCACGGATGTGCTTTGTTCTTCAATGTAAGTAATTTAAATATATGCTTCAATGTAAGTAATGGATATATATTTTATCCACTAGAGTTTCTTCATCTTCAAATAATTTTCAATTTGATCCTATGTCCATCATTAATCTCTCTGTTGACGTTCAAATGAATAATCTAAATCCATCTTTAGTCACTCACTGATGATTTAGTCTAGTCCATGAAAAAGCTGACCGCTTTTCCGCTTTTTGAACTATGGATTAAAATCAATCAATTTGCACCTATTGTCCCTCCCAGTTTTGGCCTATTCAATAATCTTGATCAGTCAATCTATCCAGACTCTAATATTATTAGTAACACCTTCAATGATAATAAGTCTCCTTCTAAAACTAATTCATTGATGTCTTTCAAATCTTCTGAGATATTACAGCTTTCTTATTTTACCCGAACACCGTTGAAAATGTGTATCGATGGATCTAATTCAAATGGTATAGAAGAATACTAATCAATGTCTGTCATTACCTTCTTTCAATGGAATTGTAAACATGGAATCAGTATCTGCTGTTGTTGAATTTGAATATTCACCGGATTTCTGGGAGGCTGCAATAGAAAGTGCAGAAGAGGTAGAGGTTAGATTACCTTTGATCAAAAAAATTAATTCGGATAACTTATTCTCAATTGCGCGATGCATTGATTACTCTCCACCCGATCTTGCAATACAACCAATAGTCGAAAAAGCATCCCCATTTAAGGTACATAAATTAATTTATACTTATTTTTTAAATAATTTAATTTTTCCACATTATTTTATGTTAAGATTAAACACAGGAAAGTCAAGGAAAATATTAACCTCGAAATCAATGGTCAATCTTTTAAATCCGATCATACTAAACATTTAATAATGAATTGGACAGATCATAGTTTCCTGGAAGGTACGCCGCGAGAGGACGGATTACGTGGGCGATCGTACGGGAGTGTGAAGATGAAATAGAGGTGGATGAGGTCAAGGGACTGTTCGGGAGATCTGAGAGGGTGAATTTAAGGAACATCACTTTGGATGGCCGTGTTCAGATGAGTCTTTTTATTTTGAAAAAGATAAAATAAAGTAAATTTTTCTATTACCTACTACTTGCATTATTTCCAGAGTATTCCAAAGCTTTTACAGTTAATATATGCATATCTTTAAAATTGCTTTTAATTTATGATTAAGTACCTTACCAAAAAAAAAGATGCAAGTACCTTAAGTTACCGATGGTGCTCTCAAGCGTGCTAAGGCTTACATCGCTTGTCTGAGTGCAGTTGATGCTGTGTTCTTTCAAAATGGTGGATGTGCAAAACCGAGAAAGCTTATTGAGGTTGTCACTCACGTAGAAGTTGTTATAGCGTTTGAGGACGGAGGACCGGCGGTTGTTACCACTGCTGATTGGATACCAACAAACACATTACCAAGACTAGTGAGGCTCTTGGCTGGCTGGCTAGTGTCTGTGATTTGAAGGCTGATATGGTTGCCATCAATGTTTAAAAACCGGCGGTTAACCGGCTGACCGGTAAAATTTCACTAACCGGTCACCGGTTAGTTGGGGCGGGTAAATGGGTCGATGGGGCGGGTCTGACCCGTACCCGACCCGGTTACCCGTCCCTGTTACCCGTCTCGGATATAAATAATTAACTTATGGGCTTTATTTAATAAAGCCCATTATGTTTAATTTATTAAAGCCTCATTTGAAACCCTATAAGTTCATTTAATAAAGCAATCTTATTCTTTGCAACCCTAGCCGTTGCCTCCTTCTTCCTTATAATTCTTTTTCTCCTCCACTCTCCTCCATTCACATCTCCATTAAACAGGGATATAAACAGGGATATAAACATGGATATAAACATGGAATAGATAGATATATAAGTATATAAATAATTTCTGTTTTTAAAAAAAAAATTACCAAAATACCCCTACCGGTTAACCAGTGGTTAACCGGTCTAACCGGATAACCGGTAAGCCAGAACCGGTTACCGGTTAACCGGTTTTTAAACCTTGGTTGCCATAGCATATGGCTTCTTCTGTGCACAGATGGACAAGGTCGCAAGCAGTAGCACCACAACTGTGGAGAACACCTTGTCGTCCTCTCATACTCTGATGAAGATTCGCAAACATCATGCAATGGCCTTTGGTACTACCGTACTGGGTATGCTAACTTCAAGGAGTACTCCACGTACTCACAAGCTCAGGGAAGCTGAGAGTGGCAATTACAAGGCACCCAATCTTGAGGCCTGACTCTTCTATGCCAGATATATGCATTTCTCGTCTTGTTTTGTTAGATTTTATCATGTTTTGAATTAGACTTTTTAGGTTTTGGCGTCTCTACACGAGGTGTTTCTCTGATGTGATTGATCATGTGGGCATTGTGTGAGGCCTACTCAAGTAGTGTCTGATGTTGTAGACAGGTAAGCAACAAAACAAAACATAACGAACCTTCCTGAGCCTCGTGACTAGGGTGTCAAGTAAAGCTCGGCTCGTTAAGCTCGGGCTCGCGAGCCCAACGAGCCCCAGCCTAAAGCTCAAGCTCGTTAAGCTCGATGGGCTCGGTAAGAAGTATAAAAAACTAAAAAAATATGATATATAGAGAGGATGGAGATGTAGCACAGATGGTAAAACGTTTGCTTAGTATGCAAGAGGTCTCGGGATTGATCCCTCATGTCTCCAAGTTATTTATTTTAACCTGCAGGTGAGCCCGGGCTTGCCGAGCTTCGAGCCCGAGCTTGGCAATTCTTAAAACGAGCCGATCCTGGATAACTCCTTAACGAGCTGAGCCTGAGCCTGGCTCTATAAGCAAAAGCTCGGCTCGGCTCGTTTGACACCCTACTACTCGTGACATCGGAGATCGTGTTTTCCAACGCCATGTCCTTGTTGATAAGACCAACCATCGCCAAAAAGTACCACTTGGCCAAGATTGAGGGGATGACATCTGAAATCGCAACTGCGCATGTGGACCTGTTCATCCTTTCTGCATATATCCAAGCCAAGATTTGGTCTGCAAGTACTCTAAACGACCAAGACCTGAAGAACAGGGCCATGATCTTGGGTGTGATGAGATGTGCTATGACTGCGATGTATGACCTGAACGTGTCTGACATCATCCTTGGTGAGATGGACATGGGGTATTTCAAGTTGATAGACCATGTTGAGGCCGACAAGGAGAAAGAGAAAGAAGCTAGTGCAAGCACGTTTGTACGTAGCTCGTAAGCTCATAGTACAAATGGACGAATCTGTGACAGACTCTGGCCTCTTGGGTGCATTCCCAAGGTCGAAGGTAGAAGACGTCAACGTGATGTATGCACTTCGTCTATGTGGTATTGCTTGCTTGCCTACTCAAGACTGGTCGATCCTCCAGACTGGGCATCACTATATTAGTGATGTTGGAAGTCCCAGCTTCAAGGCGTTCCTTGTGCCAGAATAATAACACCTTAGAGGGGCTGGTGTGAAAGATTTGTTCGGCAAGGAACCTAATACTTTACGTGATCTGATGTGGTACAAATCTGGGAATCCAGTGAATATGACTGTGAAGAACAGATTGACAACTAGCATGAAAGTCAAGAGGTCCCTGATAGTTGTAATTAAGTTGTGGCACTGCAAGACTCCCAGCTACCGTTGGCGCTCTCAAGCGTGCTAAAGCTTACATCGCTTGTCTGAGTGCAGTTGATGTTGTGTTCTTTCAAAATGGTGGATGTGCAGAACCGAGAAAGCTTACCGAGGCTGTCACTCACGTAGAAGCTGTTATAGCATTTAAGGATGGAGGACCGACGGTTATTACCACTGCTGATTGGATACCATCAAACACATATGCCAAGACTAGTGAGACTCTTGGCTGGCTGGCTAGTGTCTGTGACTCGAAGGCTTATATGGTTTCCATAGCATATGGCTTCTTCTGTGCACGTACAGATGGACAAGGTCGCAAGCAGTAGCACCACAACTGTGGAGAACACCTTGTCGTCCTCTCATGCTCTGACGAAGATTCGCAAAGATCATGCAATGGCATTTGGTACAGGGTATGCTAACTTCAAGGAGTACTCCACGTACTCATAAGCTCAGGGAGACTGAGAGTGGCAATTACAAGGCACCCAATCTTGAGGCCTGACTCCTCTATGTCATATGCATTTCTCGTCTTGTTTTGTTAGATTTTGTCATGTTTTGAATTAGACTTTTTAGGTTTTGGTGCCTCTACACGAGGTGTTTCTCTGATGTGATCATGTGTATGGACATTGTGTGAGGCCCACTCAAGTAGTGTCTGATGTTGTAGACAGGTAAAAAAAAAATTATTCCCTCATTAATCGTGTCTGTCATTTTCTTTTACCATTTCATTTCTCATTCCTTTGTCCATGGCTTCCAAGTTCCAACCCCTCCGGTGCGTCCTACGATCTTAGCTCCACCACCAAATCCACCCTGCAGTTACCTAAATCTAATACAGGTCGCGCTACTTGATCAACTGCGCATCTTCGGTCCACGTGTTCCAGCTGTGATGGGCTTGAGTATTGGGTCGGAGCCCTATAATATGGGTATCATCATTCATCACCATTATTTTTCCAGCTATTAGTTTTTGTTATTGTCAATGGCTAGAAAATAGGTAATGGTATCTGCTTTCACAAAAAAAAAGTGTTATATATTGTTCATCTTCCAACTGCTCCATTTGTTTGCTGTTAGAGTTTCTTCGATATTTTTATCAAATTTCCTTAGAATTTTGCACATTGGACATTTAGACCGAGTATATGATGGAATATATACAATTCAGAACAATTAGGTAATGGATTTTTTCTGTTATAGTTTACAGATCAATAATTGATTGTTTTCATACATATTATATTCTCCAGTTTGTACGTATTTCTAGGGTGATTTTTATTCTTGTACTTGTGAGTTCTGAGGTATAAAGTTTCAATTCATATTTCTTGGCAACTATATTGAATTATTTAAATGATAACTTGCATAAGTTGCATTTCTTGAAATTGTGAAAGTTTCACATGAGAAACTGAGAAAGTAGCAACTTTCATTGTTTTACACTTACATTTTATAATTAACTAGATTATTAATGTAACTCATTCAATCCATGATCTCCATGCTATTTGTTAGTTGTTTTTTGGGTCTAAGAACTCCCAATCAGCCAATTGTGTGTTTTATATAATAGAACATAATTTATTTATTTCCAACTGACTTGTGATTTTCTGAAGAGGGGGGGAGCTGGGGTTCTACTTTCTATGAGCCATGTTCTTTGTGATCACGAACAAGACTGAAAACCTATAGCCAATTTTGTTGTTCAGGAAATGAACTTGCGTGGGCATAAGAAGGATTTGATTTCTTCATGCTGGTTGGTATGATGATAATCTTAGTTATGGTTGTAAACGTTATGCCTATTGTTAAGCATTGTTTTTAAATCCCGTTCATATTGTGCAGGTTCGTTGAAATTGTGCATGATATGTGTAGACTGATAGATATACTGTGATTAATTGTTTGATGAAATAATTTTTATAGGACAGACGACAGATAGATGAGTCAAAAGTCCTGAATTTTATAATATTTTGATTGAATTCTTTCACATCAACACTGAAATGACGCATCAGTTTCGTTACTTAGTAGTTAAAAAATAAAATTAAAAAAGACTTGCTGTGAGCCTTTGAGTGTTCACTGCTATTTTTTTTACCACTTGTAACATTGTTTAATAACATTAATTATAATCAAACAAATATAAGTATTTCGACCTTTTGCTACATTATTTCATTGTGTTTATAATATTTTACATTATTTTACATACGTCATTTACGTCTATTGTTTAAAATTTGGTTTAACAATTCGTATAACATGACACAATTTATTTTTACAGATCCTATTGTAAAGGATAAAATATAAAACCACAAGGATCAGAAAAGAAATAACCCCATAAAGGCTTATATGCAAATATCAATAAGTATAAATATGACACCATGTATATGCAAAGTTATTATGAAGTTAATACATTATTTGAGCATCATCTCTTAATCTCTCCGACCACCTTCCTCTACTTCTGATCAACCCATCTTCTCCTATCAACCTCCGGTTATCTCTTCGCTAAACTCATCGTCTTCTCAACATGGTATCAGAGCTTCAACGCTCCGCTTCTCTCAACTCACTCTCCCAAAACACACCAGTCACCTTCCTCCAGGCATACACAGCCAACACCAATACTCCACCTCCGTTCCACTCTGAATCACAAAATGACACTGACCTTCTTCTTCCTAAAGGAACCTCCGACAACCCACACCATCTTCCCACATCCTACAATATCAACTCTCTTTTCCGCAACCCAATGAACAAAACCGATTACATCTGCTGGAAATCTCACTTCTTAGGAGTGCTTAAACTGCACGACCTCTCCTCAATAATCGACACTCCAGACCAGAAAACTAAAACGGCAACCGGTGAACTCAATCTGGAATATGAAAAATGGCTAAAGTCGGATCAACTGGTACTCACATGGATTCGCTCTACGGTATCGCCCTCTGTCCAAGCAATGATCCTCCATTGCACGTCGGCCAAAGAAGCCTGGAATCTCCTGGATCGCTTCCTATCTCCTCTGTGCAGTATTCACCTAAAGTCTCTTCGCACTAAATTGCGCGCCACAAAGAAGAAGACCGACGTTCCAATGTCGGAATACCTGATGGAAGTAAGAACAACGGTAGATGCTCTACGGGCTGCAGGCTCATCCATAGAAGAAGAGGAGATCATCGGCTACGTTGTAGATGGACTCGATGAGTCATACCACAGCTTTCTAACTCATCTTCACTTCAGTCCCACTGCCTCGTTTGATGAACTAGTCAGCCATCTTCTTCAAGAAGAAGACCTACTGAAACGAACAACAACGTCAGCAGCCAACCCAATTGCATTCACAGCACAACAACAATCGAGTCACCCAGCTGCAAACAATCGCCAACAGAACCCAGCTACAAACCATCAGCAAAATAACTACCGTGGTCGCTTTAGAGGTCGTGGCCGATTTCGTGGTGGCCGATTCAACGGAGGACACGGCCGAATGAACAATTACAACGGACACCCAAACTACCAACATCCCAGAGCACCAATCTACAATCCTCCACCATCCAACTACAGACACCCAGAGCACTTCAATCCTCCACTACTCCCAACTCCTGCGTCAATCGGCGAGCAGGTATGCCAAATCTGTAACATCGCTGGCCACACTGCCAGAACCTGCAACAATCGTCGGAATTACGCCTACAACGTAAATGTCATCGGCGACGACATGGCATCTCTCTCTCTGGGCAGCAGCGCACCATCTGTGAACTCTGATGGATCATGGTGCCTCGACAGCGGCGCATCGAGCCACATGACGCCATCCCTCGGATCATTCTCCGCGTCTCAGCCATATCAAGGTAACGATACAGTAATGGTGGGGAATGGGTCACAACTTCCCATCCTCAGACAGGGCACGATATCTCTTCCCACATCCATTGGGCGCATCTCTGTGCCCAATGTTCTCTTCGTGCCCGGTCTCTCGAAAAACCTTCTCTCAATTCATTCTCTGTCAAAAGATCTAAACTGTGTCGTTTTGTTTGATGATAATGGGTTCAAGGTCAAGGCCAAGAACACGGGGGCAATTATCATGCGTGGCAGTAGTGGCGATGGGCTATATCATCTGGATAGCTCCAAGACAGGCGCACTCA